GCCATCCCAAATACCCACAACTTACAGAAAACAATTACAGAGAAGATACACAAATATACAGAGCTTAAAGAAGAAATACTTAGAATCATTCCTAAAAATTTACATCACGGTATCCAACTACTAGATCTCCATAAAAACATATACACAACAATGCAGAAAGCCGCAATTCTGAACACATGTCGTATTGTCAGGAAGTTTTTGCAAGAAGAAACCTCCGAACAAGTACCCCATGAGGTTCACTTGGTTTAGGCCCGTGAACCTCATAATTACCGAAATTGTTATAATTTCGAGAATAAGGGAATACCCTGAAATAATAATAATAAATTCTTTATTTCGGAATTGTACATTCCATATCTTATACTACTAGGAACAAAAAAAAAAAAAACCAGCACATACTTATATTATCTAGAAACAAACAAAAAAAAAAAAAAACCAATTTATCATAAACTAAAACACAATAACAACATTAATAACATGAACAGCATTACGCTGCAATTTGCATCCATTTTTTATATACAGACGTGGCATGCAATCGGTTGTGTAACTCCTTGATGATACTGTTTGTGCAAGTGCCAACTCTAGACAAGAATCCAGCGATTCGCTTTCTCTGTATAGCATTAAACGTGTCCAGCCTCGCTTCTGTGAACATACCCGACGCACTGCAGTGCGGGGCAAGACCCATTAGCTGTCTGAAGATGTTATTGTACTGGACACGAATACCATCCAGAGACCTCCTCGTGTAACGTGTCCAAAGTTGACACGTGTACAAACTTTGACAGTATGTTCTAAATAGGTGAACTTTCGTCTGGGCATTGGCTTTAAAGAATCTCCTAGCTATCATATTGCCAACGACTGACAATGCTCTGCGTTGTCTGTCTATGTCAGCATCGTCCTTCATATCTGACGTCAGCATGTGACCAAGGTACCTGAAACTTTCTACTATTCTAACAATCTGACCTCCTAGCCAAACTGGTGGGACATTAAGTGGACCTCTTCCTGATCTGAATATAAGCATTTCAGTTTTTTCGCGTTATATACTAAATTGTGTTCTCGCGCATATTTCTCACAAATCGCCAATAGTCTTCTTATACCTTTGATTGAGGGGCTGAGCAGAACCATATCATCAGCGTAACTCAAGTTGTTGACATACCTATCACCAAGCCTAAGCCCAACTGCCGTCCCACTCAGCTCCTCAATCAAGTCATTCATGTAAACATTAAATAGATCAGGAGAGGTTAACCCACCTTGTCTAACGCCACAAGACAGCCTAAAGCTCTCCGACATCGCGGTCTCCCACCTGACATTGTTAGACTGATTAGAGTACCAGTATCTAATCAATCCAACAACCCCAGCTTCCACTTTAAACCTATCTAGTTTCCTCCATAGCAGGTCGTGATTTATTGTGTCAAATGCGCGACTCAGATCAAGGAAACAAGCATAAACGCTTGTATCCTGTTCCACATACTGCGATACAACCTGTTTCAGAGAGAAAATAGCCATGTCAGTTGATACCTCAGGTCGAAAACCAAACTGCCCATCATCCAATTTAAGTGCAGGACTTAACACTTTGTGTATCAGACGCTCAAGCACCTTAGCCACTACCGTTGCCAGCGATATAGGTCTATAGTTAGACATACTAGTAACATCGCCCGTTCTGTTCTTAATTATGGGCACAACTATCGTACGTATAAGCTCTGCAGGTAGGTACTGGTGTCGCGAACAAAGATTAAAGAGTAAGGCCAAAGTATCAGCAATATACCGACCTGCGTACAGTAAGTGCTCAATACTCAAGCCATCGTGTCCTGGGGACTTTCCACGCTTCATTGCTCTGAGAACCTCCACAATATCTTTAGCTGTGACCTGAAAAACCCCCTCATCCGTTCCATAAGAACTCGACAGCGGTGTATAGCTTACTGGATTTGGGGTAGTCTGTTTTAAATTGAAATGTGCACTAAAGTTGTTTGCAATATTTCTCTTGTCGGACTCACCTTGCACACTGACAGGTATACTAGTTTTAGGGTTGAGCTTTTTAACTTCTTTCCAAAAGCCACCAAAATTTTTCGACGATGCGTGCTGCGCTAATATACTCATTTTAATTTTCTCTTGATTATTTTGAACAAATTTTAACGCATGTTTAAACTCTTTACGAGCTATGCGCATTTGATCGAAATAAAACCCTGAACGCGGCCTACCATATGTATTCCACTGTAAGAAAGTTTGCCTTGCCTGGACATGGTACTGTCTAACATGATAATTCCAACCAATTATATACCGCTTCGTATTAGCTTTGGTAGCATATGTGCGCTCAGCAGCAGTTTGTAATACATTAACTATATCACAATAGAGTTTATCAATGATACTTAGATGTTTTACATCATTACATAACACACTAATATTACATGACAAGTTATACTCCTCACATCTATACACTAAACCCAAATTTTCAGTACATATTTCACAGTATTTATCACATTGATCCTTGTTTCTAATACCCCACTTATACTTTAAATTGCAATCAGTCTCAGTATCTAAAATCAGTCTTTTACAAATAATATTGCTTAATCTTACCTGTATTACTAAAGGTAGGTGATCAGATAGGTATGCATCATATAGTACACTAACATTACATACCGATGGTTCAGCCGCAGCGGACACCAGGCAGTGATCGAGCCATCTCTGCGAGCCCGAACCATCACTTACAAATGTATATGTGCTTAAATCTAATTTCTTAGAGTCAATACATGATAACAGTTCTTCAGTACAGTAATCCATAAGCTCTTTGTAAAAACGCGTACCAGGGTGAGCGTTAAAGTCCCCTAACACGAACACACTTTCGACATCCGCACTATCAATTACCGCACTTATATTAGCGAGACACTGTGCCATTACCGGGAAATTGTCTTCACAATCGGTAGGCATGTACACACTAAATACTAGTATACTTCGATCATCACGCACAAGCTTGACCGCAACCATACGATCATTGTTACACTGCACAATATCCGCGCTAGGGAATATGTTCCGGTCCCATAGGAGAGCAACTCCCCCGTACGGCCTTCCACGCACCACGCCTTGCTCCGTGTCTACAGCAGATATACCATGACAACCAAATTGTTTGTGTATGGTATGTAACAACCCCAAATCATGGGGAAACAGCCACGTTTCTTGCAGGGCTACTACGTGATGGTTATTACATAATTGAACCACTTCTTGTAAAGATCTTTTGAGTGATCTACAGTTATATGTGACAAGCTTAATGTTTGAACAATCCATCTTAGTTCTGTGTAGGTTCTGTGTTTGCCGTTGATTTAGTTACAGTTGACTGCCTGTTAATACTCTGTTTACGTTCCCAGAATTTCCTAAAAACAATGTCAGCTGGCCAGAAACGATCACCGTTATCATTTAGAAACAGGTCGACACTACTTAAAGGAACTATTACCTTGAATGCATTAAACTCGTTATTTACGTTGTTTATCTTAAACACTTGCACATCAAGGTCGGTCTTGTATTTAATAAAAGCCTCAATATTACTGGCGGTCGTATCCTTATGTACTCTAGAGATATATAAGGATATTTTTCTCTCAGCAGCCTTAAAGTTAAATTGTTCCAACGGTTGCGCGATTCCTCTCCTATTCATAATTTTACGACGTTTGTATTGTACCGTTGACCATTCATCGTTAGTCGGTTTACCAGTAGAACGCATAGTCTCCTTAACAGTCTTCTTAACAGCATCCGCCATAGTGTACGGTCGCCTATCAGCTGATAACATAACGCCCAAGGCACCGGGCACAGGCACTATCTCCCGCGCGGCGGCGATATGTTGCTCGCTGCGCACCACACCCCCCCCGCTACGTATGTCTCGCTGCTCCCGTCGCACGACAATTGCTGTTTCACGCGTAGGAGACGGCGCTTGCTCACTGTCTCGCGCCCTCTCCCCCCCCCGCGCTGCTACCGCGTCGCATGCATCTCTCGGCGGCCGATCGAAATCGAAATCAATACTTTCCGAGAATATTTCCTCACCCTCCTTACCAATTATATTTATGGAAGGTATGTTGGGCATAATTGTCGTTTTCGATAACTCATGAGTATTTTTACTTGCGTTAGTCGACAATGCATTTTGAACTAAATCTTTTAATTGTTGAATTTCGAGCTTTATAGACGCCATCTCTTCGTTAGCCGCTTGCGAAGATACTTCTGTAGTTTCTCTCCGCAAGCTGGCGACTTCTTTCTTAAGTAACAACATTTCCTTTAGGAAGGTAGTCACATCTATGTGATCAAAGGTGACCGGCGGCAATTTATTGAGATCTTTGGCCACGAAAATCGGTAGACAATCAGGGTCCGATTCTTTCAAGATCTTTACTATTTCTTGCACACTCTTCTGTTGATTACCTTCCTTTCTTCTCATAATCTTCTTGGAAGGTGCCAGTACCTTGTAAACAAGTTGCCGGGCACTTTCAATATCCGCATCGGTAAACGCACTCAAACATATTTGTACGATAGCTGTCTCGGGAAGTGTGTCTATTTTGTTACACACGAATGCTAACATTTCACTTACTATGACATTACACGAATTACATTTCATTTCGGTTTCACTGGGATTTCGTTGCGGAGATCGCGACATGGCGCCAAAACCGCGGCGCACGGCGCGCGCACACACTCACGCGTCTAGTCGCAACGACACCGCTGCGCGGACTGATATAATATATAGGTATAATATAAATTACATAAGATACATTATCAATATTACTAGATAACAATACTATAAAAGTAAATAAATAAATTGGGAATAAAACTACATATAATATGTATTTATATACATATATATTAAATACAATCGCCAAAATGATAAATTAAGTACGTGATGCGTCTGTCTGTTCCCTCTGCAATAGCTCACGAACCTTAACTTTAAAACTAAGCCGGCTGGTTGCCGGCTTAGTTTTAAATTATTAGTTTGTGCTGTAGGACCTAACGAGTAAAAAACAGTATTTATTAAGACTTACCCAATCTCTATACTGTTGTAAGACGCATCGCCTAAATAGTTTTCCGAATTTGTATAATTCGTGAGGTGGATTGATGATAACCGATGTCTTTCCTAAAGATATCACTTCGCTAATTCTGTCGGGTACCGGTAGGATTGCTGGTTTCTCCGCCCATATATGGTTCGAACACTTCTCCGCCAAGAACTCGTTGAATTTCCCATACTCTCCGGTTGCAATTTCTAGAACTGAAGAAATAAACCATATCTGTATATATTTTTTTAAAGCAAACAGTCTCTTACTAATAAATGATTACAATACAGTCTGATAGTTCCATATATACAGATCAGGAGTTCCTGATCTGTTTATATGGAACTCCATAGAACAATAAAATACAAAAGGCTCTGTTTTTAATCTGTCATGTAAACAGATTAGTGTATTACCTAATATTATATTGTATTAAGATTATTTTAGTAAATGTACAAATAGATATATTCATATAAAATCCTTTGCGTCAGGTAAACCTGCTTTGTGAGATACATATTTTATATCATCATTTAATATTTTTTACTAGAAAACCCATAGCATTTCACTCTTAGTGTTAACATGGTTCTAATCAAATATTTTCTTAGCTCGGCTTGAGCATTCATGCCAAGAATTCGTGGTTTGTAGACAAGAAAAGCCACTTGACTAGGCCTCAATACCTATGGAACTTCTAATAGTTATATAGAGGTATGTGTACAAAAGGTTTGTGTGAATAAACGGTACCAAAAGCAATATACAAGTGCTAATTAACTATATATTTAATAGGACAACACTGTTGAGCTTTTAAAACAAATTAACATCTTGGAATTACTGTCCTTTTCAATAAAATAATTATACCTTAGTAGTTACTAGATTAGCCCATAAAATAACAATAAATAAGCGAATAATTTAAATACCTATTTCAATCTAAATAATGATGATTTATCATTGATGATCGAGTGTATTTATGATTAGGTGCTCTTTCAGTTCGAGATCCGCGTGTTTTATTATATGTGGAGGTCTCTCCTTCTCAGGGTTGACTAGGTGAAAATGGGCACCGCGTCCCGCGACCCGCAGGAAAAACGATGCTCATAGCCCCCGACTAAATTTGACTTCTAAATCTCCTTCTTCCTTTTCTGCTGACTACTTGACTACTGACACTGTCTGTATGTGGTTCTGAATTTTTGTGTGGGTGTAGCTTGTATACCAGTTGTGGATTGTGAGCTTTGTGTGATGGTTGATTGAGTGGTGTGTGGTGTGTGCGCTTGAGATTGTAATTGATCGAAATCTGGAATGTTTTTGACGAAAACTGTGTCTCCTACTTTGTTAAGAATGATTGTTGTGTGAATGGCGGCTTGCTTCTGTAGAATTGTAATTTCTATTGATGTTTCTAGTTTGTCTGTGTATCTGCTGAGGCTTTTGGCTACTACTCCCGTGGCTCCAATTACTATGGGAATAACATGTGTTTCAGTATTCCAAAGGCGTCTAATCTCTGTCTTTAAAAGGTGGTATTTACTCAACTTTTCTATTTCGTTTGCTCCTCTGTTGTAGTCACTTGGTACGGTTATGTCAATGAGGTATGTGGTGTTGGATGTTTTGTTTGTGTATATTATGTCCGGTCTATTGTTGGCAACTGTGACGACATCCGCGTGTTTTATAATACATATATTGAATGCTTTTTTATGTTATTATCTTTTTGCCATTGGTCAAGTTGCATTGTATGATGGACAAAAAATGTTATTATATTTTTGATAATTTATTAACTATTAACTTTGATGATCTATAATGATGCCCGATATAACAATCCCTAATAAATAAAAGCAATGTTTACAAAATGGTGTGTTACACTTATGCCCTGGAGAGAGGCGAAGATAGACCTTGGTTTAATCTGTTTATTTGTTTTTTCGATTACTGTTTTTTTGGATAGGTTAGTGTTTATTCCAATTGAAAGGTACCTTAAGCCAAGGTCACCACTTTGTTAAGTTAGGTACAACTTTCAAGTTTTTACAGTCGACCTTATAACGAACGAGCTATTTTGTATTTGGATCAAAAAACAGGTAGCAAGTCGAACTGAAATTTTGGATTTTGAATTAAAGTGATATTAATAGTCCATAGCTAATTAGTTTCATATTGCATTTATTACCGTGTTAATTAAATTGATAATCAGAGAGTATTGGAGAATTTATAACAGGATTAGATATAGCAAAATTTAAGGGAAGTGTCTTTTGTTCCCTTTAGTTTCAGTAATATTATTTTCATAAGGGATTTTTGTGCACATATGTACTGGGACACAACATTATTATGTACTTACTGTAATCAGCAGGATTGTGGTACATCGGGCACTGAAGCCCCACTGAAGCAAGGTAAGGGACCGTGTTTTCACTGGCCCCGTGATAAATACACATGCCTTCTGCAAGCATGTATACCTGTTTTGAAAAAAAAACCAGATTTGAGGAAGGCTATCAAGATTTTTGATACTAGAATTAATTAACAAAATCTGCTTATTTTGGTATTCATTTTGATTTTCATATTTAATCCTTGTACGGAGTATTTTGTTGGATTTACTAGCGCTTAGTAGTCATTAGTCTATCAAAACGTGTTGATAAAAACAGTATTTTTAACCGATTTCATCATCTTCACTTTTTGGTTGTTTGGTAGAAGGTAACACGATGATGTATTAATGTACAATTTGATGTATCTGAACGTATCTGTCTATGTGGCATATGTATACTTTAAGCATGATACGGATATCATTCTAGAAAAGTCAATTACTCTACTAGGTCTACGATATATTTTATCATTAAAATGGAGTCTAGAATTGAACAATCTATTGATAGCCTTAACACTATACTACTCACCTTGTCCATAGTATTATTATTATAAACAACCTTTTAAGTACACTGTAACCTATTGACAGATATAGAAAAAAAATCTCTATTGTGCTGTATGGTGGCTGACAACATAGGAAATCTTATACAGGTGTCAGTGTCAGAGGTACGGCCTCGAGTTAGGTTGCTGGGTCAACCTATAAATGGGTTTCATACAGAATTTTTTCATAAAGTAATGGATATCGTTATAATCAAAGATGGCTTTCATGACATCTTGTAAGGATACTTTTTATAGATCTCTAATTTGGAATACTAATTTCCAAATCCATAAAAAGACTAGACTAAAAAGCTTTTGTTTTTACATCAGTATTTTTAACAGTGATGTCATATCATGTTGAGTAGCACACTTCAATATAGATGGTTTTATTTACATTTCATCGTTGGTAAATATCTAATCAAACATTATTTAATGTTTAGCATTGTTTGGATTACTCCTTCTTTCTAAAATTCGACTATTCTATTGTAATTGTAGGTAATCTTTTGCCTTCGAATAATGTCAGGTGTTAATAATTTAACACATGAGAAATACTCTTCAAAACTAGTGAAGCAAGGTCTATTGATTTTGAGCGCATTTTGTAACTATTACTTGAAACGTGAAGTTGTTACACTGTGTGTAATGCATCCCTGTGTTCTTGACCAATTTTTTGTAACTGTTAACCAAATATTTAGCTGAAGTGTTAGAGCATACTAAAGTGATCATTTACGGTTGACGTGTTGCCATTTGTTATTTTGTATGTTTTTACAATAGATACAAAACACGTATTTTTAAGAACACAATTTATATAGGTACGCGTAATTTTTCCCTATGTCAAAATTAGAAGTAAAATTATTAACACAATGGATAAAAATTTACCTTATATTTATAGTTTTTTTTATCATACATGCATTTATAATGCACCCGCATTTTTAATGCATGAAAAAAGGACCAAAGATCCCGCATGACAGGACCAAAATAATTAAGTGGGGATCATAGGGTATGATCTGGACAGCTCGGCTCCATTACCTAGTACATATAGAAAACAGTAAAAATAATGTTTTTACTTGATCAAATAGCGAGTATACGGACGCAGGTGGTTGGTGAATAGTGCAGACTATCGTCCGACCATTGCTTGCTAAGTTCTTTAGAAGTTGCATACACTGCGCAGATGTGCTGCTATCCAGGCCACTGTAACAAAATATTAACTTTAGTGATTTTGAATTGGTCTTAACACCCCTTTTCTCAATCCCTGAATCCCCAACAATCCTTAAATTCCTAATCCCTAACGGTAACGCAATTGAAACGCCTCTGTTGTTCCAGGTGTCCATGGCGTCCGTCTGCTCGTTTACTGGCTTATCCCACAAAAAATATGAAAATTTATATTTATCAAATTCTGACGTCAATCATTTTGTATTTATTATTTTTATATAATTGAACATTTAATAAGACCAAAAACTAAAACATATTCGATATATCGATTATCTGTTGCATAATTTTATTAATTTTAATGTGTAATGTATATGTACAGGGTGTAAACGAAACGCTTCCGAAAAACGCCGACAGGGGATGGTAAAAACAAGACAATTAATAAAATTTAAAAAAAAATGTAAATCATTAACTATAAACGTAAAAATTATTTGTTGCATTACATTAAACAATTTTCAGAAGATACGTCAGTTCCAGTCTCAATAAGTACGTACACGTGATGAAACACTGCTAAAACGAACTCATTCACAGAACATAGACGAGCGTGGAAAAGCGCATTGAGCCTCCTCATAAGCCCATAGATGTGTGTAACTCTATTCTCCACAAAAATGCCGGTCGCATTACACCGCCAGGGAAGCTTTATGATTGCTGTGAAAGCATCATTGTATTGTACACGATAAGAAGAGTAAGGAATTTAATGTTTCCTTTATGTAATAATAATTGTAATGAACCGCTCAAGGCTGATGTTGCATGAATAACACGAAAACGAAATCGATTAAATTGTAAAAACATTTCCTTAATGTCGTTTTGGGAGCGTTCCGTTTACACACCCTGTATATAATAGATATAATACTATTTTTTTTTTTCAAGGGGGAGAATCATCGAATGACTGCTCCCGCCTGGGTGAGGCGGAAGGGAGTGTCAGACTGTTACTGACTAAAAACCACCCCGTTCCTTCTCCTGCACGTCGAGCCGGAGCCCCGGTAACCCGTTAGGTTCTCCGCGACAGATATAATACTACTACATCGTAAAAACGTTTAAAGCTTAATTTGTTATACCTTCTTGTCACATTACTTAACTATTTGTTTAAGTAGGAATGTGTTAATGTATATATAAATACATTTTTTTATGGCATAATTCGGTAAACGAGCTGACGGATCATCTGATGGTAAGCAATCGGCGTCGTCCATAGACACCTGGAACAACAGAGGCGTTACAAGTGCGGCCTTTTGGGGATTAGAAGTTTGAGGATCGTTGGGGATTCAGGGATTATGGAGATTGGGTAAGGGGAAGGGTAATTGGGCTTCCGGTAACCTCACTCACATGACGAAACACAACGCAAGCGTTGTTTCACGTCGGTTTTCTGTAAGGCCGTGGTATCACTGCGGTCGAGCCGGCCCATTCGTGCCGAAGCATGGCTCTCCCACACTTATACATTATAGCGTACACTATTAAACCACGTATGTCGCTTCTCGTGTTTGTTCTCTTTAGATGTCTATGCGATGTACTTACTAAATTATTAAAATAATATCAAAATATCATACAATTGTATAAAAAGACAGACTTATTGTATTGACAGAGTAATTACAGTCATGTCAGTAAGAAAATAATTAAAATAATGAATAACTTTATCTTATACTATTAGGTGAAGAATACAATTATAAAGCTGAAGAGTTTGTTTGTTTGTTTAAACGCGCTAATCTCCGAAATTACTGGTCTAATTCGAATAATTATTGTTGTGTTGGATAGTGAATTGATCGAGGAAGGCTGTGGGCTATAAAACACTGTGCTATGACCAATAGGAGCCGAGCAACAGATGAAACCGCGCAGTAGTAGTTAGTATACAATATGTACTTTGGGTACTTGCCAACTAGTCAAATTCAATACTTTTTTCGAACTGTCAAAAACGACCATTTTCTATGAATTTTATACGAGATTGTGTATTGTGACGTTACGTTTTTTTAGTGTGAAAAAGAATACTTACTTATTAAAAATTTGCTGGACTAATACTAAAATTAAGTTGGGCATAAAAGCAATTAATGAAAGTGTGATTATTTTTTTAATATTTTATTCTACTGAACAGTCGAAATAATTTCTTTTTGATTAAGGAGGACCCAATTGTAGAAGGCTATGCAAAGTCGAGCCGCTTGTAAAAAATATTGTGTATTTATATAACAAACCTGATTCATATATCTTGTTACACTTTATATATAAAAAAAATATAACATTTTGTTTGTCGGCTAGACTTCATTAAGAACCAGTTTTAGATACGTAACTTTATATTAGATACCTACCTATATCTCATTAATAGACCCTGTTATTTTAAAACAATAATATTTGTTTAGTTAATTAGTGTATTGTGAAATTATTATATTAACATAACATAACATCACGCCTTTTATTTCCGTAAGATATTACGGCCCTTAAAGCCACAGTAATCAATGTAATACCCAATTTTTACTATTTATTTTATGAGTCCTATGTAATAGGGGGTAAGCCTATTGCTATATACCGGGGATAATTTCAAACTCCGAGCTACCATTGAGAAACTTGCCCGGCTTACTGCCTCGGCGAGCACTCGGTCAACGGGGTAGAAATATTTAGACAGAAATAAAAAAATATTTAGCATTCAATGTAACAACACAAAATCCCTCAAGATTCACTAATCTTGAAGGATTTTGTGAAACACCAGTAGCTATAGGTATACGAGTACACAGATATGTCTCTTTACGCCGTAAACATAATGAAGTTTATGGTATAAAAAATATAGTAAATAATAACTGTGAAATTATAATCAGTAGTAGATTATATGTCTTACGCTTCTTATGGGGAATTTTATAGCATATTAATTTGATTCGGTCCTTCTTAACAGTGAAACTAAAATGAAGAAAACGTTTCTAAAGGTTAAGTAGCTATTTGCGCGTGATTTCACCCGCTCTGCTCGGCTCCTATCGGTTAAAGCGTGATATTTTGCAAAATGTCATGTCCGAAGACAAATGAAAAAAGTTGTAGATTTAATTAAACCAGCCTGGTAGGATCAAATACCGACTAGATATCATTATCGTTTAAAAAAAGCATTGAAGTAATGTGCAAAAACAGTTAGAATGTTCATACAGAGTATTTTTAGGTTAATTATTGGCATGTTTATCTTATAGTAAACACTTCTAATATTATGTAAAATTGAAGCTTTGCTTAATTAGCACTGCGCACGACAGCAGTACGTGTCCATTCACAAAATGAATACAGGAGTCTGGGATTTGGCGGTATTTCATGTAGTTTGAAATAAAACATTGGAGTGGTTTTGATACTATTGAATATGATATTGTTGATATTGAAGATATCTCTATATTAGTTGTATACCCGCGTACGTGTCACAGACGTTTTAATTCCGTTCTGATATTTTATTCTGGCTTATCTGAGGGCGAGTTTGTTTGACCGCGTTCGGCGCTTGGATTGGTTGGTTCATTAGAACCGGCCAATCAGAGCATTGAACGCGGTCTCGTTTCGATCTGTTGTATGTAATACGGGCAAGCATATATCCTCGTGTGTGTATCAGTGTTTTGTAGTTACTCTGTTCAATACAATAAGTTTGTACGAAGCTGGCATCAAGCTTTACATTTTTTCATTGTCTCACGAGCCTCAGAAAATGGGCTTTGACGAAAAATACTTACGTAGTTGGTTCATCTAAGAAAAGTACGGGAGGGTTGTCAATCAGTTCCACTGCTATCGATAATCGTTTCTTCTGTCCACCAGAGAGACTTGCACACCTTGTGTTTTCTGATCCTGATAACCCTAGTGTATTGATTATTTCATTAATCTGCAACAAGATAACAGTTCTGTAAAATGGGATTGTTAAGAATTTAATATGCGTTGTCCTGTTAGTGCGACGACAGAATGCCTCACTACATTTTGGTCTTTTGGTTCGCCAAAATATAATTTGGGTATTTTGGTTGGAGAAAAATTCTTGTAATTTATTGTGGCCCTTACAGATCATTGTATATTTGATTAATTTAAGATGCAATATTGGTTTTAGAATGGTTCCCGATGTGATCAATAGCATTAAGTATCTGTGTATGTATGGTAAGCATTTTAAAATAAAGGTAGAGTTCAGATAACATTAACATAATATATCTAGAATTAAAGGTATTTTGTTTTTGCTTCAAGTACGTTATTTCATTGAAAAAGTGACAGGTTTAAATTTAGATGGAACTGTCAGTCTTCCGTCATTAGGTGTCGTCGACCTTTGTAACTGTCAGGTGAAGACTATCATTAAATTTGCTGTCGTGGAATTATTCTTATAAGATCGTGATTTAAATTTGATTCTAATTAATTTAGATTTGCGAAGTTTAAAGATAAGACTGTGCAAAAAAAATATAAAATAAAAAATAGTTTTTATATCTTAAATTAGCAGTCAGTCTAGACTAATTTTATGCGCTTGATAATTTATTATTTCAAAATTTTAAAGTCTAAAATCCTCTTAAAACGTCAACATGTCCATGAGGTCTATCTAATTTTTGTATCCAAATCCTTCGAGAATGTTTCAAGACGCCTAAGCCTAAGACAAACACGATTCTCACGTTTTTTTTTCTTAAAATAACTTACTTGACTGTACCAAAAGCAAGGAAATCGCAGAATAAAACTAGTATTTAGTTTTCAAAAGAAACTTCGGGTCACTTAGGTACATAGTGGCTAGACGTCGGTAAATATTGATGACGTTAAAACAATAGAATGCATTTTGGGTATTTCCAATAATGCCATAAAAATGACATTGTTAACCTTTTTGATTTATTTGAATACTTAGATATTTATTTGTCATAATGCAACTTAAGTATTAACGTACACAGATAATGTAAATTCATTGCAGATTTGCAAAACCTGACTCGATTTTGATCATTATGAAAATGCAATTAGGTGTCTAAATAAACACGGGTACGGCCGGTTTGAATGGAAATTTTATTACGTCAGTACGTTAGTAATAAGACTTTTTTAAAGTTCAGTTTTGTTGATAATTCAAACAACTGCTCTAAAAATAGGAACTGGTGACTTTGTTTGTTTGAGCAAGCAAAGCTCTGCAGGTTTTCCAACCACACTTTTCATTGGATTTGTAAAAATATTTGACGACATAATTCTCGATTGTTGGTAATCGATCGAATGTAAGACAAAATTTGTTTGTACTTACCACGCTCAGTTTCAATTTATCTGTTAGAGTGTCACCTAGTTTCATGTCAGCAGCGAATTTCATCAGCTCAGCCACAGTGAATAAAGGGTTCAGTCTATCATCTTGTAATATGTAACAAGATTTCTTCCTATATGCTTTAAGGGAACTTAGTGAGCCTTTAGGCTTCAGTTCACATACGCTATCTCCAGCACGTATACTCCCCGTGACACCCTTAGTCCTGCAACAAACGAAGACTTGGAATACCAAGAATATTTGGAAGTATCAATTGATAGCCTCGTCAAAATATGACTATTAAGACTGAGGTCGAAAAATTCTCAGTTGAAAATATTCTGGAAGGGTAAATATTGGATATATTAGGTACACCTTTTGTTTTTATTATAATATGTGGTACGAGAAGTGTGTTATAGTTGGATTTTCTTCGAAAAGGAATCTGGAATTCCTTGAATACCTAGATATGTTAATATGGAGTGTATTTTATAATTATTGTCTTAAACTTTACTTACGAAAAACCAGTTAGTGCGTTCATGAGGGAAGATTTTCCGGCGCCCGAAGGACCCATTATGGCAGTCAGTTGACCGGATTTGAACAAACCAGAAACACCTTTTAAAATAGTCTTTTTTTCTGAAACAATAGAGTAATAAAGTATTAATAAAGAGCTACGCAAAACTACATTAAATAGGTATTGCATTACGTGAGTATATAACATACCTACATATTTATAGGTTAGAGTCTAATTATATGTCAAAGATTAAAATCTGAGTTGATGTTTATTTTTACTATAAGTACGTGTTAAGTTTTTACTGCAATGTTGACTGTGGTATTTAAAATGCAAACATGCGTTACGTATCACGAGGGTATCGAAGATTTATTCAAAAGTATTTTTTAAACGACTAAAGGTTATCCCATTTATTTTTATCGAAGTCACAAAGTATTGCACGATATTATTTTAATTCTTTCAATGGAATATAGTTAATTTTGGTTAGAAATACATATCTAATAATAAGACCTATGTTATGTTATCAACAACGTTATCATGTAGTTATTGTTTAATTAGTTGTGGTATAGAACGTAACTTGTAGTAAATTGTTTCATAAATAGTTGGTTAACATTCCATTCATGATACCATAAACGAGTGTAGATAAAATCCCCTGTGTTTTTAACTTTTTATTTATTTTATATCTGTGAAGAGGAGAGGAAGAGGCTACAAAACAGTTCAATCTCGTAGCTCTTGAACCTGAAAAATTTGTACCCTTGGGTAAACAATGAACTTAATAACAAAAGGCTACATTGGGAATGTTAAGATGCGACCTATCTCGATAAACGTATAACGCAGATGCGCGAGATATAATTATTATCATGTCTGAAAAATCTAAAATATTAAATTAAGTATGTGTGGCGCTTAGGCAGGTTTCTGCGAAAAACAAGCCTGATGGTCGTTTTTTTCGTTTTTTTTTAACATCCAACAAGTGGAAGTTTTGATTTTGAAATACTACAAACATGGCCATAAAAGACAATAAAATGTTATATCTCAAAAACCGGTTTACTATTTTTGATCAAACTTATTTTGATATTATATGTATGTACGTCATACTTACGAATATAACTGGACCAAAGACGGCTATATTTTAAAACGAACCACTCTAAATTGTACATGAGCAATTTGGTTTTAGGTACTTGCATGCCTTTCAGTGGTCGTACACTCGAAGTTTATTCTGAATCAATAATATTCGAATTAAAAATACCTAAGTATTTTCTTTCTTTCTTCTGGAACAGAAGATGTATCTTCTTACACCTTCCGTGCCTTAAGTAAAATATGTATCAAAGAATTTAAAGCCTCAGTAAAAAATAAAATACTGAAAGCTATGTTATTAGTATGAAGTTAATTTAAATAATTAGTAAACGATGTATAAAAGTCTTTAATTAACCATGCATAGTTTTATGGGCAATGAAATGAAGTTTATATGAATTTTATAGTTATCCTCGGAAGCGTAAGTAATTGCAAGAAGTATATTTACGTATTTCAACATTAGCTACCTAATTAATTTATTATTCAATCCTGTCTGCGTCTTTTGTTTACTTGATCCAATCATTAAGGGCATTTAAATGTAGATTTTTTCGGGAAAAATTGGAAAGTCGTAACCACAGATTACATTTTGTTACAATGGTAATCCATATTTTAATATTACCTATATCAATATATTTTATAGGTAGGTTGGTGTTTTCTCTAAATTGTAAATTTATAGCGTCTCGCAGCCATGTCAGAAATAGCACTGAAAAAGATTTTGGCTATATATTTCATTTTCCCACCCTTTTTTTAGTATAAAGTATGCAAACCTGTATAATATTAAATCGATTTACGATTACATTATTTTTATGTTCATATTAATCATTTGTAATCCTGCTTTGTGTCTTCTAATAGATTCAATTCAATGACTCAGCATTAGAAAAACCAAGTTGTTTTCAATTCAATTGCAAAACGCCATGATAAATAAGTATTTTGAAATGATTGATCTCATTAAGTGGCCATCATAATTTATCAGTGGAGAATAATACAAGCGTGAGTTTCCTGTAATAAGATAAACTGCGGAAACTCGACGATGACTTTTTGTACGTAAGTACTCACGAGATCATTGTCATGTAGGTAGGTACTGTAGGTAATAATTCCTAAGTTTTACGACAGTTTTTGTTTTCAGTTTTATAGTTTACTGACTTCTGCCAATGTGTTATTTCATAATGTATCCATGTACCAAATTTTCAACCGATACCATTAACCGTTATGACGTGATTGGGTAACAAACATACACACAGACACATAAACACACAAACTTTCGCATTTATAATATTAGTAAGATTTATGTTTTAAATCTGTTGTGGTTTTATTTCTCAGATATATTTATGGTTTTATTCGATACATTTATCGATTTGGTGTTTATTTCCAAAGTAGCCATAAAACACTATAGTTTACTACCGTACGATAAATATACAGAAAATGTAACTATTTGCTATACTTTAAACCATTCATAGACACTTGGCGTGTGCTAGATGGCGCTAAAGAGTTTTATAGTTCTCTGGACCCACCTAATCATTGTCTTTTCAAAAATTTGTCTATTCCCAAAGTTTAAAAAACTCTTTACCCGAAATCTATTCTAAATACGTAATTAATAAACTACTTACAAATGCTGAAAAAAAAGAGAAAATATTCAGTGCATTGCGAACTCACTTTTTTTTGTTTTTGCTATTTAAAAAGCTTTTTGAGTTAATATAAATGTAATCAAGTTTAATTTATGCATATTTCAAGCGTATTATCATTATTTAATATTAGCTTTTGTAATTAGGTGTTATGGATCACAGTTATTACGCATTACAATCGCTAGCATTACGAACTTGATAATGGCTTACTGACAGTGACCGACTTACGGAGTTCAAGAGAGCGGCGAGTGTGTGTGTCGCTTCGGAAATTACTAGATATCGAGTTTATTAATATTTATTTTAAAGAATAGATAGATAGATAGAGAGCCATTAGATTAAGAATAAGAACATTTATTTGCACGAAGTATGGTAATTACAGGTGATAATGATTATAAAAAATAGTCCCACATACCTACATCGCCTACTGTTTTCGGCATGCAAAGTTAAATCTTACAATTAATAAAGTTAAAATGTTACAATTAATAGGAACTAAATACAAAAATGCTTACAACTAGAACATACATAACATAAACATAATATCACGCCTTTTATCCCCGAAGGGGTAGGCAGAGGTGCACATTATGCCACTGTACAATGTAACACCCAGTTTTCACTATTTATGTTACGAGTCGCATGTAATAACCAATTGCCATATACCGGGCACAATTTCAGACTCTCCGTGCTATTACTGAGATTTTTTTAAAAACCCAGTAATACTTTGCCCGACCCGGGAATCGAACCCGAGAGACCCCTTGCTCGGCAGTCGCACTTGCGACAACTCGGTCAATTAGACAGTCCTCCTATCCGTGTTATGACTGGGTATTTTTTTGAAAAACAGAATCCTTTATAACGACAGTAGATGAAGCGGTAACTTTGGAAGTCACACTACCGGTTTATCTTCTCGATAAAGTTCTTTCAAATGGCATATGGATTTAGGTAAAAAAAGGTACTATGTTAGCAAAAAAAATAAATATTACACTTTCGGCATTATAAAATAATGATTAAGAAAAATTGCGTTGCTTGAAGCATGCGTACAAAGGGTCTACCGGCTATAATAAATGATCCGACTAGATAATCTGACAATCTTTGAGAATAATCTTATACCTTGTAACCTTCGCGTTTTACCTCGCTATTTGAGATTGTGTTTTATAATTTTTGTATTCTTAATCCTAGAGTATAAAGTAATTTTGAGGCACAAAAACATTTGTAAACGTAAGTAGGTAAATGTGTAAGGAAGTTGATTCTTTGATGATAAGACGTAAGTATACTCATTACCGGCTATACAGAGAATATTTTTTACAACATAATGTTACCTTAACTTACTGCTCTGTGAAAAGAGCAAATCTAAACAACTGCTTTTGGAGCTTATATTTTACAAACTTTTATTTTACTTGTAATGTATAGGTAGGTAAAATTTGAAGCAGATTTTATATTCAACCGATTGAACTGAAATTTTATATAGACGTTTAGCTTGCATGACCATAAATACAAAGCTAACATAAAGATTTAAGTATGTTACTCCAAACAATTTTCAGATAATTTCAGATAACATAAAGATTTATGTTCAAACGATTCTCAGATTCAGATAATTCTCTTCATATCTAAACGATTCTCAGAATCAGATGATTTTGATTTTACTCATGGATTGTTTGGACTACAGAACAAATTAACAATTAATAGTTTATATAACCAATCATTAACAATTCCTGACAGTCAGTCACAGCTAGACTATTATAATGGGCCTTCCTTTACATGAGGGATAGTTCTAACTTCTTCTATATTACGAAATATAGAATCTCATTCGAATTATACCTCTATACTACATTATGTAGGTACATTTATTTCTTTTGTATATGATTCATTCATATAGGATGAGTACAATCATATACGTAAAATATTATTTAATAATTATTAATATATAATTATGCCCTCTGCATAATTATTCGTTATTAAGTCAATGCATACCTATTTACGACTAGATGTTCTTGTCAGTGATCATCCAATTAGGTCATACAGAGCTCATATTTAAGTACTTAGACAAACCACTCTATAATAATTATTATAATGTTGTGTGCATGCTTAATATTGCAGTATAAATGATTATTATTTACAAATATGTCTACCTTATGATTAATAACAGGCAAAATTGTACGAAAAAGGAATTCAAAGGACCAAAAATCATAATTTTGTTGGTCCTTTTTGAATTGTAACAAAAAAAGATGGCGAACTTATTAATTACTGGGTATTAATTTAGTAGGAACTTACTATTTAGTATGTTTGTGAAGATTAGAGGTTAGATGAAGATATCTTTTATTTTCTGTTCTTTTAAATAAAATATGTTTTTTGATTTCGAACTTCGGAATGTAAACCTTAAGTCATCAATAGAATTTACGGAAAATATAAAATACTAAAAGTAAATTGCCCATTGCTAA